GTAAAATTCAACCTGAAAGCATTGGTTTGGCTGTCAGCTGGTTTAAACTCCGATATCTCATCTAGCAGACTTAAATTGGCTTCAGTGTTCTACAGTAAACAGGAGATATGGAGAGAGCTGAAATAATACTGAGACACACTGAACAACAATATTACTCTTATCCTGTTTTACCTATCTGTGACTGCTGGGATAAGCCTCCACCTGCAGTAACAGCAGAATTCAAGAGGGTATGTGGTGAGCAAAGTGAGGACTGTATCAAACGTATGACAGCATTTTGTGTCAGATTCATACAGAAAGAGATCAACTGTATTCCTCATGAACTACAATATGAAATGTTCAGATCTACACAAGATGATATGATACACAGACATTGGTATTTAGATCGTTGGATGGACTTGGCTGTAGTTGATTCTCTACCTTTCCTGTACTTCCTACAATACAAGATCTACAGTCATCTACAAAGACATCAAGATAAACGGCAAGCACTTGGTAAACTTATAAGAACCATAGCAACAGATGTAAACCTCAAACATACAGAAACAGCTCTCAACATCTTAGGACAATGTATGGAACAAGAAAACAGACCTCAACACGCATTAAATAGCTACCTGATTTCTCTTCAGCTTAGGGCAAGAAACAATGCAGCAATCATCCATATATGTAAGCTCCTTTCTGGCTTATTGGCAGCACAATAATAAGGGGCCAAAATACAGTGACAGTTTAATTACAACTGAAGTTTTCAATGATTATAATTATGCTGATTGTGTGTATCAAACTGACTCAGATGCTAAAATATATGCCTTTCATCATTCTTTCTGTTACATTTTAGTCTCAAATAAAATAATCAGAGTGAATCAGCCACTAATATGTGATATGATTTTGTATATATAACCTTATACTGTTATAAAATATGAAATAAACAAATAACTAGAACTCCACGAGTTTGCTCTGTGTCACCTTGAAAACAGTTGAGCTGTCACTTAAAAAAGTCATTAAAATTTTTCTTCTTAAATATCGGTTATATATAAACACCGCTCTTACAACGTACATGTACCTTTCACTTAAGTGGTTTTTGAACTGATTGTAACAATGATACATCAGGATTAATAAAACTATTACCTTATCAAAAATTAACAAGAGGGCCATGATGGCCCTGAGGTCGCTCACCTGTATATAGCCCCCCCCCCACACACACACACACACCCATAAGAAGATGTTTCATGCTAAACATCTAAGCTCTAGCTCATTGGGCTTTTTAAAAGAAGATTTTTTTAAGTTTTTACTATACACATATAGTTAAAAACAATGACACCCCTGGGGCGGGGCCAGTTTTGACCCCAGGGCTTTTATTTAAACAAACTTTGTAGACACATACTAGAAGATGTTTCATGCTTAATATCTAGACTCTAGCTATTTGGGTTTTTTCAAAGAAGATTTTAAGTTTTTGCTATACACATATGAGGAAAATCAATGACCCCCGGGGCGGGGCCAATTTTGACCCCAGGGCTTTTATTTGAACAAACTTGGTAGACACCTATTAGAACATGTTTGCTGCTAAATATCTTAGCTCTACATGTAGCTCTTTGAGTTCTTTAAAAGAAGATTTTTTAAGTTTATACTATATGCATATAGGGAAAATCAATGAACCCCTGGGGCAGGGCCAATTTTGACCCCAGGGCTTTTATTTGAACAAACTTGGTAGACACCCATAAGAAGATGTTTCATGCTAAACATCAAAGCTCTAGCTCATTGGACTTTTTAAAAGAAGATTTTTTTAAGTTTTTACTATACACATAGATTTTAAAACAATGACACCCCTGGGGCTGGGCCAGTTTTGACCCCAGGGCTTTTATTTGAACAAACTTTGTAGACACTTACTAGAAGAGGTTTCATGCTTAATATCTAAACTCTAGCTATTTGGGTTTATTCAAAGAAGATTTTAAGTTTTTGATATACACATATAAGGAAAATCAATGACCCCCGGGGCGGGGCCAATTTTGACCCCAGGTCTTTTATTTGAACAAACTTTGTAGACACTCACTAGAAGATGTTTCATGCTTAATATCTAAACTCTAGCTATTTGGGTTTTTTCAAAGAAGATTTTTTAAGTTTTTGCTATACACATATAAGGAAAATCAATGACCCCGGACGGGGCCAATTTTGACCCCAGGGCTTTGATTTGAACAAACTTTGTAGACACCTATTAGAACATGTTTGATGCTAAATATCTTAGCTCTAGCTCTTTGAGTTCTTTAAAAGAAGATTTTTTAAGTTTTTACTATATGCATATAGGGAAAATCAATGACCCCCTGGGGCGGGGCCAATATTGACCCCAGGGCTTTTATTTGAACAAACTTGGTAGACACTCATTAGAACATGTTTCATATTAAATATCTTAGCTCTAGCTCTTTGGGTTCTTTAAAAGAAGATTTTTTAAGTTTTTACTATATGCATATAGGGAAAATCAATGACCCTCTGGGGCCGGGCCAATTTTGACCCCAGGGCTTTTATTTGAACAAACTTGGTAGACACTCACTAGAAGATGTTTCATGCCAAATATCTAAGCTCTAGCTCTTAGGGTTTTTTAAAAGAAGATATTTAAAGTGTTTTCTTTTGGTTGCCATGGCAACCAGAGTTCTGCATGGAATTAAATTCTTTGAACAATTTTTAAAGGTGACCACCAAAGGAACATTCCTGTGAAGTTTGAATGAAATTGGCCTAGTGGTTTATGAGGAGATGTCATTTAAAGTAAAAGTTTACGGACGCCGGACGTACGCCGGACGAAAAGCGATCACAAAAGCTCACCCTGTCACTTTGTGACAGGTGAGCTAAAAACTCCTTGTGTTTCATCCATATACAACAAACAATACAAGATGTAGCCTTCCAATTTAGTTTTCTTTATTTCATTAAAATCATGTTTATAAACATTCCAAGTACAAACTATTGGTAAACAATAAACAAAAACATTTATTATAGCATACAATCCCCTTGACTAATTTAAATCTACATCAGTTTCACTGATTAAATCATGCATTTAAATGTAAATCTAAAAACAAACACAACATGCTAGTCTCACAAAATACAAACAAAAGAAAAGCTGCCCTTTGACAATATTACACCGACGTTCTGCAAGTAAGCTGGATAGCTTCCCCACATGAAACAATCCAAAGTCCCTGTTTGGATTCGAACCAACAGTGGTCTGGGGCAAGTGGTTCGAAGTCAGTTACCTTAACAACTCGGCTACAGACGCCCCATTAAAATTTACTTATCTGATGGCCCTCAATCTAAAAAATAACATTGTAGAATTATGGTGATATAACTGTACATGTACATTAAATCATATAAATTTAATTATCAAATAAAGATCAAACTATGCAAAATTAGCCCTCACTGCATTTAAGTCGTGCAGTAGCTGCATAAGTCTTCAGTAGAACTATGGTGATAAATACTGCAAAATCAGTCATTTACTGCAAATAACACGTAAATCTTTACACAAATTGGGAATATTTTTACTTTTCTTAAAATTTTAGTATATTTTTCTCAAAGTTGTTTTTTGTGAATTATTTTTGGTTATCTGGAGGCATACAGCTGTAAATATGTCTGGCTAATCATTTCTTTAACTCTATACCTGTTTTATCTATGATTGATTAATCAGGTTTCTGGTGGCACACTGCTTTAAAGCTACTACCATCTCTAAGTTTCATTACTGATGCATTTATTTACAAAATGAATAGCATTATATAACAGAGAAGGGCAGATAACTATCAATGAAAGTTTCAGAAACTTTATCATGACAATGATGCAACTTCTTTTGCAACATGTCAATTGAATGTGATTTAGGAGTCCTGATATGTTTAATGCATTAAATGGATATATTATGCTTATTGACAACTTAAATAATAACTTCATTCCTGACACAATGCAAATTCTCATGAAAAAGATTCTTCAGTATTATCCCATAAAACCGTAAGTAGCTCTTTAAATGCTAATTTCTGAATACGAAAGTACCATATGAAATGATAATTATATATAAATATACAAGCACATCAAAAAACAGAGGTAATGTTGACACAAAATATAAAGTCACATAAAAACAGAGAAAATGTTCAAAGGACAAAAAAAATAACATCACAGGGTCACAAATATTCAATTTCAACAAAAATACAAGCAATGCATGTTTACAGTTTCTTGTTGTTAACTGAACAAAATTCTACATTGCAGCAAAATACAAGAACACATTTTAAGGTGATAAATTCATCTTTCATATACATAAAATTTAAGTAGACAACATGACTATAACATGATGGACGGCAATGGTATCCAAGACCAATAACACTACATAATGTCTTTGTCAACGTTGTTTAATATAAGTAGATATCATTACTATAAGCTGAAAATTGTAAATTGAAGATCTTCAGAAAAGCCTTGCATGCATTTAGCATTGACAAAGTTATTTAAATGTTATTTACCCGGTTTAAAAAAAATCGTTGAAAATGCCTTCACTGAGTGATATATGAGATGCAAGTTCCTCGCAAAACCTTTATAAGATGATAATTATGCAATGTCCAGGTACACTACAGGATAGCTTAAGTATTCTTTGAAAAAAGAACTAATACATCAAATTATAGTTTTAAGTAGCAAAATATCTAATTACATTAAATCTCCACAAAATGTTCATAAATTTTGTGACACTCTCTAAACGAAAAAAAAAGATTTTTCTTCATATTCATGACAGCCAGACTTGTAAACAAATTTCCCTTTTAATACCCATTGTAATTTCTTGCACATTATAGGTTTTTTTTCATAAAACATCAATAAAAATGGGAATCTCTACACAAAAAATATCATAAATAAAATCAAGCTTGAGATAATGTACATGAATTTACAATTTTGAGATTTTGCGTCTGAAACCATGTCCTAAATACATCGTTAATGTTAAACATTAATTCTGATTGGCTATTCTGGAAAACTATCAATAGTCAGATCAATGTCAAGGCCACTGTTACGCAAATATTTAAGCCAAAAATATTTTTTGAAAATAATCATGGAATCAGATCATGCCCATATTAATGACTGGCCTTTTACTTCATATTCATCACCTTTGGCTTCATTACAACACCTTTAGGATATTCTGAAATTCAAGCCTCTGCTCTTGTATGATAATATAATCCAAAGGTCATAGCCATCGTCCATGCTGCACATGTCCACCATGTTAAAAATGACAAAATTCCACGGTAAAACAAAGGGGTAAAAACAGCCCGTAAGTCTGAGAATGCCACTGACAAATTTTCTGCCTCGTCAAGAATCGTTCTAGTTTTATTCGCAGACATTGTAACGTTGCTGCTATGTGACGATTCTTTTCTAAATGAATTAACGTAGTTTTCGACACTTTCCCCAAAAGTTCCCGACCATGAATATCCTCCTAAAGTTTTATACAAGAATGCCATGAACAGCAGAATAATGACTGGAACGATGTACTGGATGATTACGACACTCACAAAGTAAAACACTCGAGCCACCATCTTCTTTATTTCAACGTTACTTATCCTACCACTTTCTTTGCGAATACCTTCAACCTTCTCGTAGGCAGAGTTCAGATGAGACTGCACATGTGTAGGAAGAAGAATGAGTCTTAAAACACATAGGACAGCAAAAACGACTATTCTAAAATTATCAAAAACTGACTCGTTAAACACTTTTGTTGTTATACGCCAGTTTAATCCACAGAGAATATCCCGACCAATTGGCTTCACCCATAGGAACAGAAGAATGTATGGCAAAATGAAATTGAAATGTAGGAGAACTTGTTTTGCAGGGTTCTCTTTGCTGTATTTCAGTGTGTCAAGATGCAATTTTGACATCCGGAGACCTGGGAATGTCATCAATCCACCAATTATTGCACACACGAATGCCAATATAATTTTAAATGTTATAAAGTGAACAGGGCCTGCTGACTCTACCCCTTCTTTCTGTAAAAGCAGTGTTGCACCATCAGAAAAATTCTTGTATCCGGCTTCAAGTCCGAATTCTAGAACATTTTCATCAACCACAAGTACCGCCATTGCTAAAACTAAACAAAAGAACCCAAAGGTAACAATAAGAATGCGTTCTCCGCCATCCTCTGCCTTAAAGTATGCTACAGTTTGGCTTATTAAAATTCGTGCACAAAAACCGATTGCCAACAAGCACCAAATTATACTGATATTCATTTCATTTGCATTACCAAACACATAATAAATTTCAGTCAGTATGTATACTACCAGAGCACTGATAGCAAAATCAACTATCCATAGATATTCTTCATAATAATGTAAGTGTATTAAATCAATTGCTTCCACTTTAGTCGTATCCAAGGAGATAGGTGTGCTACGAGGTACCGTGAATGTTTCCTCTTTAACTTCTTTATTGTTGCCACCCTTGCGATTGTCATACCGTTTGCCCTTTCCTTTAACATGACCATTAGACTGTAACCCTGCTGCTTTCCGTAATTCATCATCAGAGGGGTGTAAGTAGCGAACCAGTCTGCCTGAAAAACATGTATATACAATGAGTAATGACAGTAAATATGTTTGTTATAATGTACATAATTTATAAAGAAAAAGACATTTTTTATTTTTTGGGGGGGGGGGGGGGGGCAGAAATTCAGTGTTTTGCCCTATGTTTTTGTCTGATCAGATTGTACAGATAAGCATACTGACCTGGATTGATACACTATAGTAGTAATTGCAGCTATCATTTAAAGATAACTTAAACTGTAATAAACCTCTTAAAGTTAAACTAAAATAAGAGATCTATACCGATCATATTGGTAAAATTTGACACAAATCATAATTTCTTATATTCCTATATGGAATATAGGAATAACTAGAACTCCGTGAGACGGATGTGTTGCCTTGTGAACAATATAGTTTAGGAGAAATGGCCAGGACAAAAATATTTAAAAGTGAAATATGAAAATTAACAAAGGGCAATAACTCAAAAAATAAGAAGTGCAGAGCAGCAGTTTCTGTGCACTGCACTTCTTATCAATAAGATCTATCATCCTATAAAGTTTCAAGTCCATAGCTTTTATAATTTATGAGAAATGGCCTGGACAAAAAAAAAGTATGAAAATTAATAAAGGGTAATAACTCAAAAAATAAGAAGTGCAGAGTACTGGTTCTTGTACACTGCACTTATTCTTAATGAAATCTATCATCCTACGAAGTTTAAAGACCATACTTTTTATACTTTAGGAGAAATGGCCTGGACAAAAATAAAGTATGAAAGTTAACAAAGGGCAATAACTCAAAAAATAAGAAAAGCAGAGTACCGGTTCTTGTGCACTGCACTTCTTCTTAATGAAATCTATCATCCTATGAAGTTTCATGTCCATAGCTTTTATACTTTAGGAGAAATGGCCCAGACAAAAATAAAGTATGAAAATTAACAAAGTGCAATAACTTAAAAATTAAGAAGTGCATTGTAAATTGGGAATTTTTTAAGCATTTTTTTCAGCTAGAAATAAGATTAGTCATCATGAATATAGATAGCTAACAGTTTCCACTGTCCAGGGAGAACTATTGAGTGGTGATTTATATGAATATGTTGGATTTCAATGATTTCAGAGAAATCACTTGGCCTTGTGGTTATTTTGAACAGCCATTTTGGGAATTTAAACATTGGAAATTGGGAATTTTTATGTCTATTTTCTATTGGGAACAGTACCGTTTTAGGGTAGTAGTTATATAAAGAAAAAAAACACTGACAGTACACAATATTTGTTTTAAAGTGACATTATGCCCATCCATGGGTATATAGTTAGTGAGCAAGGGAAATTCAATATAAGTTTACATTTTGCCATAATTCCTTTCAATATTTTAATTTTCTTCGCATGAATGATAAATAGCTAATATGATGCCAGAGAAAGTTCTGTCAATGCCATCCATCACAATGTATCTGTGACATTCAATATAGAAAAAGAATGGGGCCATCTTTTTTATATTTCAGGCAGATTTTTATTTTGTCCTCAACATTTTTCCAATATCAGTTGCTGGTCAATCGCCACCATTGTAACAGTCAATCTTTTGAAATATAAAGTCAATACAGCAACACTTGACAATGAAAATTAAAATAGCATAATGACATCTTCAAAAATTATCTTATTCTTACCTGCAATTAGCCATCTTCCAAATGAATAAAAACATGACAGTTTCTGGAGGAAACTGAACACTATCAGACTGAACACAAGCTGTGCACCAAGAACTGCCATTTCTGTAAATAAAACACTATTTTTAACAATCTTAACAATTACATATCTTATCATACATAATCTAAGTCGCTAATGAAATGACAAGTAAAACTGAAAGCTCATTGTATCAATATCTATTATATATAATAGTATAAAAGAAGTCATTTTTGACATCACTTTGACACCAATTTAACCTTGAGGCCAATTTAGTATTAACCAATAGGCTCTTAAGAAATGGAGCAGTTTAGTCTGAAAATTGCTTTGTAAATATTTCAATTAAGAATCATTATGTTACTAAAGCCGTTATTAACAAGATAAAACAATAAAGAGCTTAACTTTCTGTCTAGTTTTTCATATTATAAATCTGGATCTGAAGCAATTGTGTATTACATGTGTATAACATTTTGCCATGAAATCTCAAACAAATATACAAACATTTTGCACAGATCTTTATCAATCTATATTTTACAACTGTCAAATTTGACAGTTAAATACAGCTGTTGGCAGATGTGGTGTTGTACTTGATACAGAAATTAAATTATCACTGATGTATGATCAATAACCCTCAATAACAGGTCTAGGATTTGGTGATATTTATCTGTTTATGGAAGTCCATATTTCAATTTGATTTACAACCCAAAAATAAACACAGAAAAAAAATGCAAATTTTAATCCCTCTCTGATAAATACAAAATGTAGTCATGAAATTTATACTCTAATGTTTATTAGTAAACAGAAACCCTTATTCATTCATACCCACATGTGGATGCACATCCGAGAACACATATCCGAATTATATGCCATTTTAATTTTTGAAGGGCAATCGTGTGGGTGGGGTATACATTTAGTCAAATAAATCCCAATAAATAAGATTTTGCTTTGCAATTTATAGAACTAAATTATTAAATGAATAATATATATTACTACTGTTTACCGATATGGCAGAAATCGTTTCTCCACAATCTCTAAAATTATCTGCAGAAGAAATTTATTCAAAATGTGCCGGTCAGAATTCCATCAAAATAAGTGGGCGTGGCGAAACTAGAAGGTATAAAACCCGTCAAACCACAAAACGACCGTCTCCGGTCCCCGAATGTCTCCGGTCTTCTCTAAGTAAGGATATACACGTTCGTGGATGAGTGTAATTTACTATTTTTCGATCTCTTATTCAGAAATTGAAGCTGGTAAATAAGAATTATATATGATTCAATACTGAAAAGTTAGCAAACTTCAATTCAGCATAGGGCATCAACAATTGTATTAAGATATTTATATATTTAAAAAATTAAAAACTAAAAAATTGTAAACAACTCTTTAAACAAAAATTGGGGAAAATTACAAAACAAACATTTAAAATTTTTAAAATTATCAAAATAAAAAACATTTTCACCCTATACCTGTAATATATATAATGATATAAAGACCTATATCCCTCTTTTCAAAAAAAAATGATTTCAAAAATATTTTAGGAATTTTTTTATAATTTAAGCCCACCAAAAAGCTCTGGAAAACAAAAAAAGGTTTCGGGCCCAAAAACTCATTTTGGTTTTTTGGAAAGGTCCGGGGGTGGGGGGAACAGTTGCAAAATGATAAAGCGGGGCAAAATACATAACATAAGCCCCTTTTGATTATTTATTTGCCCCCAGTATAAGCCATGGGGATTACATTTTCCCCCAGTTTTATAACCAAAAGTGATTTAAATTTTCAATTTGCAACCAGTATAAGCCAGGTGACTAGCCTTTGCCACCAGTATATTCCAGGTGATTAGCCTTTGCCACCAGTATAAGCCATGTGATTATCATTTGCCACCAGTAAAAGCCATGTGATTATCATTTGCCACCAATATAAGCCATATGTGATTAATTATCATTTGCCACCAGTATAAGCCAGGTGACTAGCCTTTACAACCAGTATATGCCAGGTGATTAGCCTTTGCCACCAGTATAAGCCAGGTAATTAACATTTGCCACCAGTATAAGCCAGATGACTAGCCTTTGCTACCAGTATATGCCAGTTGATTAGCCTTTGCCACCAGTATATGCCAGGTGACTAGCCTTTGCCACCAGTATAAGCCAGGTGATTAACATTTGCCAACAGTATAAGCCAGGTGACTAGCCTTTGCCACCAGTATATGCCAGGTGATAAGCCTTTGCCACCAGTATATGCCAGGTGATTAGCCTTTGCCACCAGTATATGCCAGGTGACTAGCCTTTACCACCAGTATATTCAGGTGATTAGCCTTTGCCACCAGTATAAGCCATGTGATTATTATTTGCCACCAGTATAAGCCAGGTGATTAACATTTACCACCAGTATATGCCAGGTGACTGGCCTTTACCACCAGTATATGCCAGGTGACTAGCCTTTACCACCAGTTTATGCCAGGTGATTAACCTTTACCACCGGTATAAACAGGTGACTAGCCTTTACCACCAGTATAAACCAGGTGACTAGCCTTTACCACCAGTTTATGCCAGGTGACTAGCCTTTACCACCAGTTTATGCCAGGTGACTAGCCTTTACCACCAGTATAAGCCATGTGATTAACCTATACCACCAGTATAAGCCAGGTGACTAGCCTTTACCACCAGTTTATGTCAGGTGACTAGACTTTACCACCAGTTTATGCCAGGTGACTAGTCTTTACCACCGGTATATGCCATGTGACTAGCCTTTACCACCAGTATATGCCATGTGACTAGTCTTTACCACCGGTATATGCCATGTGACTAGCCTTTACCACCAGTATATGCCATGTGACTAGTCTTTACCACCGGTATATGCCATGTGACTAGCCTTTACCACCAGTTTATGCCAGGTGACTAGTCTTTACCACCGGTATATGCCATGTGACTAGCCTTTACCACCAGTATATGCCATGTGATTAACCTTTACCACCAGTATAAACCAAACAAGGCTTTAATTTTTTGACTAATTTTTTATTTGAAATCCCCCCACAATTGGGAAAAATTTTTTTTTGGGGTTTTTTTGCAGGATCAACTAAAAAGAAATAAAAAGATTTGGCGAAAAAAATTTTGGGGGGTCGAAACCCAAAATTTTAAGAACTTGTTTCAGGCTATTTTTTGAGAAAAAGTTTAGTTTTTAAAATATGTATAAAAAATAAAAAGCAAACCCCCGGGCAAAAGTTCGTAGGGGAAAATAATAACGGGGATTTTCACATTGTAATTTTTTTTAATTCTATATTTAAATTTTTTCATTTAACAAAAAAAAACAGGAAAGATTAATTTTGGGACATTTGAATAAACAAATATTAATTTTCCCCTTAACATGTAAATTAAACTTGAAAATTTCCCTTTTTTTTCTTTTTTTTAAAAAAAACTTAGACAATTTTTCTCTTTAATTTTAAAGTTTAAAAAAATACCTTTAGGCCCTTTTCGGAGGGTTTTGCTGCTTTAAATGACCTTTTCCCGAATTACCCGGTCCCCTTTTTCTTTCATTTTGTATACTTGGGATAGGTTCTGGGGGATAACCCAAAAAAACCCTCCGGGTGAAAAATGGGCCAAATTTTTTGGGGTGCTCAAATTTGATGGGTACACGCATTGGGTTTTTAAAGACCAATCCGGGTTTTTTATATCCCCAAAACCCCACAGCATTTACCTTCGAAAAGGGCAAAAAAGTACCCTATCATTGAAATATTTCTTTTGGGAGTTTTTTTTTAGAGCTAACCCCCCAAAAGCCGGAGACAGATTTTTAGCATTTATTTGGGGATAAGACATTTTTTTTGGTTTTTAAAAAATTTTTGCGGAAAATTTTTTGCAGGGTTTTGTTCATTCATTTAAACAAAGGATGAAAATTAAACCATTTAATTGGCATTACTTAAGCCAATATATTTATTGAAATCATGCCTGATACTGTACATATGACAATGTCAGCATCTTTTTTTGAAGAATACATACATGTTTTGAAGGAAAAAAATCCTAAGTCAGATGAGTAATTCAAAGCTCACCCCGTTAAGTGTACCCTATGTAGAACATTTTGCACTCCGATGTCGTCCTTGCTGTGAAAATATGGAATACAATTTGAAAATAGTAATTTCCTTATTTGTATTTTAGACCACTACATGATTGTACTCATGTCATGAAACAGTGATTCTATGTTTGGTACGTGTTGCAGTAAAACGGTATTTTTAATTAAGTAAAAACAATTAAAGGCCCATTATGCCTCAGAAATGCTATCATATTTATTTCACAAAATGTTTTTATTTTTGATATCTTGTAACATTTTTGAAAAGAACTTGATTTGCCACCCAGATGAACTTTTTTTTTTACTTTTCTTGCTCTGTTGGCAATGAGTATGATCATAGTGAATGAGTATTTTGTACGGAATTTAAAAAAACAACTTCTTTGTTAACATTTTGCTACCAGCGCAACTTTCTTCAGTTGTTAAACACCTAAAATGCTCTAAATCCATTTTAAACCATTATTAAACACATGTTTGACATTCTTAAGAATTGAAATAAAATGGATTTTTGACACATAATGCGCCTTTGTTAATTTTTTTTCAACAAGAATATCTTCTACATATTTCGAAGTTTATATTTTCTATCTCTTATTCTATGCTTGTCTAACATTAAATGAAAGCGCTCGTTAGGGAGCTGCTTTATCCACCAATTATATCAGTAGTTCACAATGCCATTTATGGCACGTGTACAGTTACCCATGCTCTGAAAGTCGATTTGCACAAAATTCACGCGCTTTTACATGGTCGGTATAAAAAACAATGGAAAATACTACTCACAATGCAATTTTGTTTTTATGCACATAGTGCTTTTCGACGCAAAGCATGCATTTACAATAATTGCACAACATATTCTAATAATCTGACGAACTTGTAAATTTTGTACATATTCTACAGAAACTGTGTATTTGTGTAATTACTGGGTCTTTCAAATAGAAATACATGTACTCTGGTTATTAATCACATTTTGAAGGTGAATTCATTCGTTTTTTATAAGAAAGTATATTTTAGTAAAATGTCTGTAAAGATAGAATCCTCAATGATTGAAAGTGAAATGACACTGCCTTGTCATGCAACATCATGAATGAATTCGCTTTTGGCATTGCGATGTCGCCGCACAACAACAGGACGACTTAATTTTGGCGGGAATAGTTTTTACTCTAATATAACCTGATCTTTTCAATGCAAAGTAATTTGAATCAAATACATTCGATTCAATATATCACATGTTTCTTTTGCTGTAGGCAAAGTTGAGATCTGTTTATTAGAATATTTTCCTCGTGTTTAAATCTTCACACGGCTCTAATCTGTCCAGTTCGAATTATCAGATGAGTGAATTTCACTACCGTCAATTTGCGTGGTTAAGTCTATTATTATTTTTAGGGGGGTGTCGAACGTATAGAGAGAGATACTTTTTAAGCGAGGTGAAAAGGTACGATACGGAGTAATGTTAACACCCGTCAGCGTGGGTATATTTTATAAAATTGCTAGAGTCATTTACTATCAAATCGCATATTTTACGTGGATCATGTTGGGCTCTTGACCCTACACAATATTATCTCAAAATCATAGTAAAAAAGAATGTTGGAAGGTTTTAAATTGGCTGCAACTGATTTTTGTGTAATGTTGAAAAAATGATAAGATGAAGATCCCATACCGTGAAAGTAAGTTCTACTTGCAACTTAATCTAAATTACTCCCTTAATAGCGTTTTGCATAAGCAAATGCTTTTTGTGCAAAAGAATATTGAAATTGACGTCTTTGTTGTCCCCCGAAAATTAATTTGTACGAATGATTTTGGTTCACATAAGATTAACTGATAAGGTTCGAAAATTTTGGTAGTTGTAATTATTACTTAACAACCGTTAGCAAAACTTCTCCCGATTTAAACTTTTTTTTGGGATCATGCCCAACAGTTCCCGGTGTTCTCCCCCCATTCTTCTTTTGGCTTTAAATTTAATTTTTTCCCTAACTTAAATTTAAAAATTTTAAATTAATTTTCCCCCTTTGGTTTCAAAAAATTAAGCCTTTTCCCCTTTTTTTGTTTAAAGGGTTTTTTTTTAGGATTTTTTTTTTTTTTACACCCAGCTGGGAGACTTTTT